GGGATCGCCAGCGAGGCACCCAGCAGCGGGACGAAGCCTCATAAGCAGAAGCCATCCGTGTCAGCGAAACAACAGACAATACGGCAGCATCTGACAACGGCAACCTGGGACAGCTTGCTTGGTACGGGGCTCGGCTCCCATCACGCAGAGCTCATTTGCGATGGCTTACAGGGCGTGTCGCCAGAGGCCAAGACGTCATGCCGTGGACGTGGGGACGAAGCCCTGCTAGCAAACGGCAGGGCATAATCATCGATGAGATGAGGGAGGGGGGGGCCAGAGGCATGGCCTGGCAGCCTAGCGGTCGGAAGGGCTGGGAACCAACAGAATGGTGTTTGGCCCAGACGGCAGCAGAAACGGCAGCGGCTGTCGAGACGAGCTAGCCAAGCTACCTTGGTAGCCCAGGCGGTGTTGTGTGATCCTCATACCATGGCAGCAGTGATATGTGTGTGTGTGTGTGTCTGGGCGGGAGGGGGGAGGATGGGAAGTGGTTCGATGCAAGGAATGGGAAAGCCGTCTTGGAAGCTGGCGATGCCCTGACATGATCCCCCCCCCCACCTTTCCTTCCTTCCCTCACTGCTTCCGTCCCTGTGGTGTGCTGTGGTTGGTGCCAGCACAGCCAGGTGCCGCCCCCGCCCCCTACCTACCCAAGCTACCTAGTACGTAGGTACATGTTGGCTCTTGAGCCCTACAGCCCCCTCACAGGCTGCCGACCACAGGCTACGGCCGCGGAAGGTTAGGGCGGCAGTGGCCCTTGGGACAAGGACAAGGACGTCATGTTCCTCACAGCGCCGCCTCCGCCCACCCTGGCACCTTGGCAAATCGACCACAGCTGGTCTCTTGGCCCACACAGCCGAGTCCCGGATCGGAGCCCAGCACAGAGAGAGAGAGAGAGAGAGAGAGACAGACGAAAATCAATGCATCCTTTCCACCCCGGAGACCCAAGACTAAAAAGCGCCCCAGCCACAGGCCAAGTTCCTATTCTTAATCCGCCAAGGTTCGGACCCGCCAAAGCTGTCGGCGCAGGCGGCGCAAGGCAGGGAGCCTAAGAGCAGCACCCGAAAGGAGCTGCGGACACAGGCCGGTCGAGGCGCGTGTCAACCGACCAAAAGAGTTGGCATGGGCAGCGCTTCATTCAGTGCGAAGAGAGAGAGAGAGAAAAAAAAAACAATCCAGGCTGTAGAATACAGGTTGTGAGGAACATGCCCGCGCTGCACAAGAACAAACACATGCGCATCTTCAAGGAGCCATCTCGATCTGCTCCAGCCACATCGTAATCTGGCAATGGAGAATACCCAGATCAAGGAACGCGGAGCAGCCCTGTCATGCCCAGGCTCTGAAACGGTTGCTTCCACATGCTCCCGGATCGTCCGCCCCGGATGCCCACCCTGCCCATGCTTGGTCGCGTGTCCAGCCCTGGGAGCCAATCTCCGTTCGTGGCGTGGCTTCATCTGACGCCCAGCATATCACGAGCGAGCATGGTAAGAGAGCTAGATGCAAACTTGAATTGAAACCCCGTGGCTAAGTCAACAAAAAAACCCCAATTACCGACCTTACGTCTGTGGCGGAATATCCATGCCTCTTGTGCCACCTTTGCGTCTACCCCCAAAATATGTACGTGTCAGCCATGGTGCATGTTTAACTCTGAATATCCCGATACTAGCTGGTTGCAACGCGCCGCTTGCACATTGACTTCCTGACTACCGACGGCCCTTTGTGGGCACTGGCAGAGCTGAGCTTCCCTCGACCGGACCGCGTGTTGTGCCGGTCCGTCCTCCGCGACGGCCTCCTCCCCTACCTCTGGCGTATCGGGCTCGGGGACGGCCGTGTCCCTTTTGCGCAGCGGCAGGAGTATTGCTGCCCTCGTCGTTTTTGGGGCTCTGAGCATGGTTTGTCGATGACTTCGCCGGCGGAGACGCCGCAGGCTTGATGGTATTGATCGTGATGACCTGCTGGTCCTTAGGCTTGTCCTTTTCGACGACCACAGGCCCTTGATCTTCATGCACTCGGCCACACCCCAACTTTTCTGCCTCGCGCGATGTGGCCCGCATGGTGCGGCTAGGCGAAGGCGCAGACACCCTCCGCGGCGTCGCGCACTCGTCAGAATCATACTCCTTTGTCTCGCTCTTGGACTGGAACCGGCGGCGAGGAGAGACCAGCGGGAACCGAAACTCTGCCCGTGTCACGGGTGCCGCGCTGGGGGGCAGTACAATATTCTCGGGCAGAGGCGTAGTGGACCGCTGAGCGGGAGTGGGCGTTTCGACCCTGTTGATGAAGGGGCTGGGGTTGCTCCTGGCCGCAGCCAGGGCGCCGGGCGTAAACTCGGGAGCGTCCGGGTTCAGCTTGGAGCCCTCGCGGCGATGGCGTTGAGGCGTCTTGATGGGGGAGGTTGTGACGATGCATTCAAGGACAGCCTTGGGCTCTGTGCTCGTTGAACGGTCGGCATAGCGGGGACAAGAAGTCTCGTTCTGTTTGCATGGCTCTTTCGTGGCCCAGAGACTGGCGTATTTGCCCATGGATGCGAGCAGCTTTTCGTGGCTGCCTTGTTCAATGATCCGGCCATGATGGAGCACGACGATGTAGGTACCATCGCGAGCTAGAAGCGGCTGGCGTTCGTCCTCAGCCCTGTCAACATCATAACTGCTCAGGGGAAGGCAACACTGGACAAGGTCCAGCAAGGTTCGTAGGGCCCCCATGATAATGAGGCCAACGATGAAGATGCTGATAGTGCGGAACGGCAGCTTTACGTCCAAAAGAGTGAGACGGGTTGGGAAGGATTGCAGAGTCTGGAGGTGGGAGACAAGACCATGAGCCAGGTGTCTTCTGTTGAGGGAGAACATGTCACCCGCCAGGGCAGGCATGCGACACACAAGTGCCTTCCCAGACGGAGCAGTGACGGCGAGGAAGGCGGGCATGATGAAGACGATCGTTCCTGCAGTCATCAGTGAGCGTACTGAAACACGTGAAAATATCATGTTTGCTTGTCATTCGTCAATAGAAGGCCGTGCCTGCTCGTGCTCATGTATCTAGCTGTGCCTGCTCCTCTCTCTCTCTCTCTCTCTCTCTCTCTGCGTCAACAGTGAAGCACCTTTTTACTGCCC